GATAAAAGAAACAATAAAATATTTATTTTAGATGTGAATTTGCTTACTTTTGAGTCGAGGAACTTCTGAGCCAGCTCAGCATCCTCCAGGCAGCAGTTTCCTGAGAAATAGGTGGTAATTCCCTGAAGCAAACAAAAGCAAATTGAGTCAATGAGCCACGCATCCTCTCACAGGGAACAAGCATATTTACGGCTTTCCTAAAAAGCAGATAAAATCTCAGAATTAAGGGGGGAAAAAGAAGAAGTCAAAATAAAACCAAAGAGAACGAAACTTTTGCAGCTGAGGCCAAAACCATTTGTCACATTTCTCCCATCTATGAAAACCACTGGCTATTTAATCAAAATTGTTAACCAGCCAGCCTGCACTTGGCTTTAAATGATTAAAAGATCCCACCTTGTCGCCCAGCCCCAGCTGTTTCTGTCTGTTTTCCAGCGAGTAGAGGAGACAGGAGCAGCTGTCCCACAGAGCCTCCATCTCAGCCGGCTGCTCCTGAAAGGCCTGGCTGGCCCAAACCAGCGCTTTCAACTTGTCCTAGTGTACATGCCACAGATGCAGACAGATAAACACATCAGATTACACTATATCAGGCACACTTGTTCTGAACACCACTGATATCTTTCAGGTTTCTAAAGTTACATTTCGTTAGCTTCGTGTTTACACTCTACGAAGCTGCTTTTACAGTTGTCCTCAACCTATAATCTGGTTAAAACGTATCTAAACTAGATTGACAACTCTTACTGCAGGCCTGTTTTACCTTAGGCAGATTTGGGATGAACTTTGTGTCTCCAAAAGACTTGTAGTTGCCCATGTTTGCATACAGACCTGCTGCATACACCAGAAAGGCCTGAATATCATAAACGAGAAAACATCAAAGAAACATTTTTATATGGCTGCAGCCGTTTGTGGATGAAAGCTTGTTTTAGAAAGAAATGAAACGGCAGAGAGACGGCGAGGCCGTGTACCTGATACTCCTCAGAGCTGAGCCCAGCTGCTGTGGCGACCTGTTCCAGCTGTGCAGGCGTCTGCTTCCTGAAGATTCTCTGCAGCAAGACAAAGATGTTTGCAGACTCGGGGGATGTCTGCAGCAGTACTACCAGACCGCCATACCTAAGACAAACGTTCAAACAGATGTATTTACATTTGTTATTTTTAAAACCAGCAGGACGGCAAATTTTAAATAACCTGAAGTCTTTTGTTGTTTCAAGAAGGTGAAACATGTAATTTCAGAGTGTTGACATTCTCACAGTTTTGCATTAGTAACATACCAAGATGCGCGTGACAGGTAGTGGGCGTACATCTTCTCCTGAGGTGAAAGCAAACGAAAGGCCTCGCTGCAGTCGAGCGCGGAGATTCCAATGTCATTTGGGAGGTAGTACTGGGAGTCCACCATCTTGAGTCTGAACGTTACACTCGTACTGTATTAAAATAGCAGGAAAGGAAAGTGGGGAACATGTTAGGAGGAAATGTGGGACAGCAAGATAAGTGGTGCTTCAAGTTAGAACCTACAACTTTCTTTTTTTTTTTTTTTTAAACCGTGGGTATTTGCACACCTGTCTCTGTCAGGCAGGACATGCAGTGTAGAACAGCTTGTGTACGATACAAACACACTGATATTTACTTGCAACAGTCCTACAGATGCTAGAATGACTTCTATGTATAATTCTTTTAAGAGTCTTTTTAAGAGTTGGGTTTGCCAGCTTCTTGTCCTTCCTCTTCTTTTGGTTGGTCCCTTTAGGGGTCACCAGGTCATCTCACCTAATATCTAGCATCCTCCTCTACCACACCAATCCTTTTACTTCTTCTGTTGTTGTCTTCTTTTTCTCCTCCCTTTGCAGCTCCATATTCAACATCCTTTCTCCATTATATCCACTATCCCTCCTCTGCGCATGTCCAAAACATCTCAGCCTTGTCTCTCTAACTTTGTCTCCTAACTGGTGACTGTTAGTTCATTTCTGAACTTATCCATCCTGAGAGGTGAGGGTGGGGTGGTGGATAGGTGTGGAAAGGGGGGGAGACAAAGGGGATGGGTGTGTGTCTTTATGTAAAACTGATGTCTGTGTGTCCCCTTCCATTTTAATATCCATCCGATTTTCACTCATACTCATCTTTTTACACATCATACGCTCACACACCAACACATACACCGAACGTTTCTCTTTCAATGCAGAGGGCACATGGTTGCCATTGAGATCTGTAGCCTTGGGTCTTCAGGCCCCCAAAAACTTCTCTTTGGCTTGTTGGTTGCGTTATTGCAGTTTCTTGCCATCATTATCAAGTACATTATCATGACACGCGTGCACATTTGAGCAACCCACTGTGCTTTTCTACATGTGCTCTGTCACCTCTTTAGTTCTCTTATTTTCTCCCCCTCTCTTTTTTCTTTCCGTCTTTTCCCCTACCTGTTAGCTCTGACATTGATATATTTTGGAACTGCTGTGAAAAATAATAGTATTAATAATAATAATTAATAAATAGATAAAGGAAGAAGAAAAATGAACAAGCAGCATATAGAGCTGGGGTGGGGGAACTCCAGGCCTTGATCCAACACAGCTGATTTAAATGGCTAAATTACCTCCTCAACATGTCTCTAAGTTCTCCAGAGGCCTGGTAATGAACTAATCATTTGACTCAGGTGTGTTGACCCAGGGTCCTATCTAACACAACACGACACAGGCCCTTGAGGCCTGGAGTTCCCCAACCCTGCTATACAGAGTCTACAGAGCTCCTCAAGCAAACATGTTTGTCACAACAGTATATTTAGATCATAAATGTAATTGCAAAAGCTGCCAGACCGGACAGGCTAAAAAAAAAATTATATTATTTATATATATATATATATATATACACACACACACACACACAGTCTCACTCTTGCACATCTTCCCTTTCAATTTTGCTGCTATCCTTTTGTCACAAATTATTCCAGGCACTCATCTCCACCACTCCAAGCTCAACCCTGCCTGCACTTGCTTCTTGACCCCTCTTGTGCACAGTTCGTCCCTTTAACATCTTTACTGCCTCTACTTCATGCATCTTCACTGTTAAAAGTGCTTCCTTCTCATTCTCACACACACACACACACACACACACACACACGTATTCTTGTCTTGCTTCAAAGACTTTCATTACTCTTGTCTCCAGAACATACTTCCACCTCTCCAGTCTCTCTTCCACCTGCTCTATATTCTCACTGCAGCCCCCAAAGCTGGAGACTCCCATCTGATCTCATCTGTCAGCCTGTCCATCGATGCTGCAAATAAGAAAGGGCTCAGATCTCTGATGTAATTCCACCCCCACCTTAAAATCATCTGTCACCCCTACCACACCACACCTCACTTACCTCATGTCCTTCACCACCCTCACATTCTTGTCTGCCACTCCTGAATTCTTATCTAGTACTATAGTTGCTCTCTTGGTACCCTAATATACTCAGATTTTCAGTTTGCAATAAAACACAAAAGGACTTCACCTAATGATTTTAGTTCCCAAATAAGTTTTTAATGATTCTTAGAAATTAACACTAATTCTTTAATAGATTGCCCTGTTTACATTTTTTTTTTTTAATATATTTCAATTGGGCGCTGTAGTGGTTAAAATAGAGCATAGTGCAGTGGCAAGTAAATTAAGATAAGATAAGCTTTATTGACATTGTAAGCACAAGCGTACAAAGAAACTGGAATTACATGAATTGAAGTGTGGTTATATTTCATATAAATATATTTCGGAGAAGCAGTAAAGAGAGAAGCTTTTGTGACAACAGGCGCTGATCGTCCAGTGAACCTTGACTTGCAGCACCGTGGCACAGATTCAAAATCAGTTAATATTACTCAAGCCTGTTTTATTTTCCGTTTCACTTTCCCCCCCAAAAAACTACAGTAACTGATATGAAGAGTCTACACACGAAAATAAATCCTGATTGTGTCTCTTTTAAAATCAGCAGCCTACTATCACCAACACAACGATAGTACGTGTCTGAATTAAGTATGAATACAGAGGCTACAGCTAACTGAATAACGTTAGCTTCCTGAGTGCATGCTAAGACGGCTGCATTTAATAAAGACTCGGCGACTTCTGTAAACAAAATAATTAATCACAAAATGTGCAAGTCATTAATCGGTATGACTGTCTGCTAACTGATACACAAGTGAGATAAATATAAATAAAGGTAAAAGTCAACTCAAAAACTCGTTACCTTGATTCCGTTATAGCGCTGAGCGAATGTCAAATTGCAGTCTCACGCTGCACACTTCCTATATTCATTCAACGAGAGAATAAGCCCTCAGCCAATCAGAGGTTGTATATCGTGGCCGATGGAAACTTTAGCCAATCACTGAGCAGCTATGCCGAGCTTTTTAACGCGTTTCACATTGTGAATTTGAACAAGATTAAGTTTGAAGAACACCGCCGTTAACCACAGCAGGAAGGTTCAGGAAATGCTAACAAGAAACAGAGACTATAGCAGTCAGATAAGTGTGTATATGTACCAAAGTCTTCGAAAAGGTAGAGCACATGACGAGGTGGCCGAGTGGTTAAGGCGATGGACTGCTAATCCATTGTGCTCTGCACGCGTGGGTTCGAATCCCATCCTCGTCGGTCTCATTTTACAAGCACGAAAAATTTTGAACATTGTTCGTCCCTGATACATTCTCCCTTAATGCTGCTAAACATGAGTTATTCAGTCGCACAACCGGAACATCGAAGGGTCAGAATCCTACAAACTCGTTGGGCTATCACTCAACAGCGCCTCCTGCCCTTCCTGACAGCCCTACACCATCTCCTCCTCCTCATTTCTGGCCCTGATATTGAAAATTTGGCTTAGGAAAAATCAGCAGTCTTTCAGCTGCTTAGCACACAGAGCTATAAAACCACAACCACACATTCTTTCCTTTCATCTTCATTTAAACCAACACAAAGCACACAAAGTTTTTTCAGTTTTAAAGGTTTTTATTGAATTCTAAAAAAACAAACAAACAAAAACAAAAAAAACAAAAAATGATGGCAGACTACATTATTTACAAAAGCTGTGCAAGAGGACAAAAATGAAAAGTTTTCTTGATGAGTGGATAGCAGTTTTAGACAAATCTTAACAGACATTTGCATTTTAAGGACATCCGTGCATGTTTGATTATTTTTGGTTTCATGCTTGGGTTTTCACTTCCCTCCTCTCAGGAGGCGTTGTGGGGAGTATCCAGCGATAGCAGTCTGAAAAGCGAAGGCTCTTGTCCACAGCACAGCTGGTGCAGTAAACAATCCCCAGAGCTAGCATTACTACCAGGAACACACACAGGGGCACCAGGAGGGCCACGAGCAGCCAGCTCTTGTCGTGCTTCCGTTGACCTTCAGCAGACTCTGCTTCTACCGTAGCTTTGACGCTAGCTTCTTCTGCACCATCCATGTTAGCTTCCTCTGAATTTGAACCATTTGCAGTGTCCTCTGCCACACCTGGGCCAGAGTCTCTACTTCCTGCATCAGCATCCACGCCATTATTAATTTCATTGTCTATGTTGCCTTTTTGCGTCGGGGACGGGGATGTCTGATATCCCTTGGGTGACAGGGTGTCCCACTGGTTTAGGTGATTTCCTGACCTGTGAGACCCATCGGGGGGAAATCCTTCAGGGGCCTCTGTCACCCAGTCAGCATCAAAGTTGGTGTCAACTTCAAAGTTTGGGTCAGGAGTGAATGAAGAGGACCAGGGAATATCATGGTCAAAGATGGCTACATGAACAGAGTTACCTGGGTCGGGGGTCAGAGTAGAATACTCTTCGTCTTCAAGCGAAGGCTGGCAGGTGTGTCTGTCTAACTCCAGGTCGTAGCCATTGTCGCAGAAACACTCGTAATCTCCGATGAGGTTGAGACAGTGCTGTTGGCAGGACGACCCCCTTGCACACTCATCTATATCTACACACTCTCCTTCGCTGCCCACCTCATAGCCAGCACCACACACGCACCTGAAGGACCCCACTGTGTTTTCACACACACCCTCACAGCTGCCATCATCGAGGCATTCATCCACATCCACACACTCGCCCTCGTCGTCTGGCTGATACCCTGAAAGGCAGGTGCAGTGGAAGGTACCTGGGATGTTGACACAGAGCTGGGGACACGGTCCTTGCTGACATTCATCTACATCGGAACACCTGCGGCCATCTGGAGCCATTTGATAGCCTGGGGGGCATGTGCACCGAAGACCCCGTTGGGTCTCCATGCAGTTATACTCACACCCCATCTCCACACAGGCCGGGTTGATGTGAGGCAAGTCGGTGGGACCTGCAGAGTCAGATAGCTCAGGTGGGTTGGTTTGGCTCAGCGTGTCAGGCTTGCAGCTGTATCCATCCTTATCTACTGTGAAGCCCTCAGAGCAGTAACAGTAGTAATCTGTGTCTGTGTTCTGGCAGTGCTGCTCACATCCATGGTTCTTGCTACACCAGTCTTGGCTCTGTGGTTCCTCAATGGGTGGACAAAGTGGAGAATCGGTGGACCAGCCCACTGTTTCGTCGTCTCTATGGATGCACAGAGCGGTCATCTCAGTAGGATCTGGATTTGCCCCGTCTGCAGGGCATTGCACGGTGGCCACAGACCCAAATGGCACATGAGTCAGCAGACTGCTGACAAGGTAAAATGGGGTGGTGTAAACAGGTGGACCTCTACCCTCATCTTCAAGAGGTGGGCACATGCCTTTGTAGTTGTACTGGCAAACATAGCCATTCAGTGGAACCGAGCAGGAGCCGTCAAGCCACTGGAAGTTTTCTTCGCTCTCACGCCCGCTCTCAGATGTGTGAACAATCATGGAAACGCAGCGATAGACTCCACAAGTTGATGGGGAGTATTCTTTGAGCCAGTCGGTGAACTGGACATTCTGGTCTCCTGTTGTAAAACACAAAGACAAAGATTAAAACAATAAAATAAAATATGCAAGTTTACTGTGTATTTGAGTTTTGAGAGCTACTTGACACATTTAAAGGATGACCTTTATCATAAATAAAGATCCCATATTTACAGTCTACATGTGCTGATATTGTCATATTTGGAAAATGTTCTGTGCAGTCATTAATTGCATATGTGTGTGTGTTTGTGGTTTTAAATTTGCCTCTAGGAGTCGCCAAAGTCAAAACAAAGTCTGACTCACAGGCACTTAAAAAAACAACAACGCCACAGCAAAATAATGTTGTATTCTACCCCCCACGAGAGTGGAGGTGGGGGGTGGGCCCAACAAAATGATGGGGAGGTTTGCCTCTAAGCTGTTCTGTTAACAAGCAGGCTGCAGAAATGCCTGCAATATATATTTAAGGAGTTTGTTTACTCTCTCAGGAATGTGCTGCAGTGGTACAACCTAGCACAACCGTAAACACTGAATCCAAGGTTAACTGTATCATATGGAAACATCTGAGTGCACACATATGTACATTTACAACATTCATGGCCAGTTCCTCCACAGTAAATAAACTGTTTGCAACAAACTAGGCAGAAAAGTCTGCATCTGCAGTTACCTTAACGGGGGTGAAGTCTTAGTATCTAGTTACCACTATATGGAAAAGAGAGCAAACATGGCTTTGTCCTTTAAATTATGACTGAAGAATAATAAAAACGATTGCATTTCTGTTTGCATTTGATTTGCAACAGAAGAACAAGGCAGACACTTTGAGTGATGATAAAAAGCATCTGTTTTTTAAGTGGGTGAGGTTTCCATAATGACTAAATCAGACTGAGGGGTAGCAGTGAGGTCAAAAAAATGGATTCCACATTGTCTACTGCACCAGCTGTGTCTGTGAAACAAAAGTAGTTCATCTAAATACCGTCCAGCCAGACTGGCCGAGATATCAAAGTCTGACAGAGAGATTATAGAGGAACATATAGCGTGATACCTGTAGGTTATAATTTTCAAAAACTAAACACATCAAAATCAAAGTCTATTCAAACACTATTAAAATGGTGAATGGATGTCAATGTTATAAAGAGCGAAAGCTCAAATTTCAAAAAAGATGAGACTTTGCCTGTGACCCAGACGAATCCTCTGAGCGGTCGGGTGGATGAACACTGACGTGGAGGTCTGTGCAACCCAATCCAGAGGTAAAGCTTTGACTCAGATCCCTGTGTCTCGATGGCTGACAGCAGCTCGTGGACGACAGCCGCAGCTTCTTGGTTATAAATCGTCGCCAAGGTCCCTCCGCGCTCCCGGCAGCTGCGCCCAGCCTCCCTGAACGTCTTCTTCTGGAGGAAGACAGCGTAACATCCTTCTTGGTAACAGACTCCATCGCTCTCCATAACTTTCTCTGCTGGCTTCTCCCTCTCTGCTTCCCTCAGCCTCTGAGCTCGGCTTCCAGGAGCCAGACAGACCGTCAGCAGCCACAGCACGCACAGAAGACTCATCCTGCTGCAACTGCTGCTGCTTCTGATGATTGTTTGCATCCTCCAAGACATGAAGTTTAAACTACACCAACATCTAAATGAGACAGCCAACCTTACTGTCAAAATAAATACTCCAGTAATGCAGCTGGTTTCTTTTCTGCCCTGTTATTGAAACTCACCTGAGCCAAACTGAGCTTCTATTGTTAGTTTTACAAATTACCGCTTTCCACTCCAGACTTAACTTTTTTTTAAAAGAAATAAATACATAATTTGGTCTAAAGGAGCTATTTGAAGCTATTTTTCTTTGCCTTATTTTATCTGGGATGGGCAGATTCTTCAAAAATTAAGGAACTGCAGTGTAAAATAAATCCATTCAAACTGCCAATCCTGCTGCCTCAGATTTTATAAGAGCTTACTACAAAATAGATTGAACTGAAAGTCCGATAGAATTAACCCCAGAATGTCCAATTTAGTCCAGTAGAGTCCAAAAAACAGTCCAGTGAGTTACCAGTAGAGTCCAGAATTTAAAAAAAATGATTGAATGGGTCTATCTATCCTTGAGCTAAGTCCAAAATAGATAAAGTTGATCCTTGTATGAATTTAGGTGAATTTCTGGGACAGAAATCCTGCACTGCATCTGATCCTGCTCAGGCTTTCAAGCCTCTGCAAAGTTCTGAGAGAACCTTAGGAGAAGAGAAAGATGGGGGTGGGGGGTTGGGGTGTAAAGGCGGAGAGGCTACGTAGAGGAAAAAGCAGAGGGGGCTGGTAAAGTATGTGAGACTATGAGGGAATAGTTGAGGGGATGATGGGTTAGTGGGGCTTGGGAGGTGGGGAGCAGGGTTGGTATTGAAAACCCTCAGAGTGTGTTATGAAAACCATACGGCACCATTCTGTCCCCCATCTTGCCAATGGCTTTGGACACACGTATGCAGTCTCACACAGCCTTTAAGCCCTGCACTGCATCCACAGGATGGAAAGTGTCTCCAGCATTGTGAGATACAGAATTTGTCCCTCTTCTTCTGACTCTTTCCCCCACCTGCCAGATTTTCTTCCTCTCAGTCTGTCATCATCTTTTTCATTTCTCTCTTCGCTTCTATTTTCTTTTTTACTCTTTTCTCATTTTCTTCCATTTCCCTCCCTCCTGTTTTTCCCCCGTCTTTCTACCAAGTCCATACCAGCTGGAAGACTTTACAGTCCAATGGAAACATTTGAGTGTGGAACAGAGGTCTACCTGTTGGACTGTTTGTTGGGTTCATTGCTGTTATAAAATAACTTTGAATGTGCACAGATGTTTAAGAGAATGAGTAGGTGTCCTTGTGTGTGTGATTTTGTGTGTATGTATGGGTGTGTGTGGTTGCCACTCGGGGGCATATGGAGGAGAGGAAACAGGAAATGCCAGATGTGCATCAGCTTGACCTCTCAGTAACTGGGGAGCAGGAGTGACTTGAGGGGGTACCTCCCGTCACATGATCTGGACGTGATGAGTGGCATGTCTGGAAGCAAAGTCAAACACTGAGATGGAATTTTTCCAAAGAAAAATATGATCTTTCTATTTTTCCGTGAGTTTATGTAAAGAGCAAAGCCAAAGAACATTAAATGAAGCCAACAGCTGCAATTTGAAGATTCAGGTACTGAAGGGAAGGCTGCTGATGGGCACAAACAGCTATCAGCTGAAGGTCCACCATGCACAAGACTGCTGAACTGCTGAAAGCTAAAACACTGTATGGATGCTCATCGTGTTTCTTTGTGGGAAGCTTGACCTGCCACATGTCAATTACAAGCAGCTTTATGTCATTGCTTCACTCTCCAACTTTCCTCTTGGTCTGGCGTAAAAAGGCTTTTTGATACAAATTTAAACATGAAAGCATGATTTCACCTCTGTAGCCAAAGGATGATGGGATGGAAAAGTCACACTGCATTCAAAGTTGAACTTATTAGCTACACATTGTGTGGCTAATCCAAGCCACACATCCAAGCCCGTGTTTTCCCAGTGTACAGCAGATGAGTCGGCTGGCTGTGCTGTGATTGTGTTGGCAGGCAGACCATACACAATCTTACTATTCAGCAGTCTTTTCCAGTTATGTAACAACCACTGGAACTTGGGGGAGAACAAACATAAAACCTCAGGATCCTGGAGAACCTAAAGAGCCTTTCGATCTTGTTCCCCACCTCCCTTTCCTCCTTTTCAACATCCCTCATCCTGCTCCTGTCTCCCCACTTCTCCTGCTTTTCTTGGACTACCCCAACACTCAGCTGTTTCTCCCTTTCCTTATTATTCTTTCACTCCCCGTGTCTCTCCTTTATTTTTCTTTGAATTCTTTTGCTTTCCCCCCTCTCCTTCTTCTCCTCAGGTTTAGCTATTTGAGCAACCAGATCAGCAATCTTTTCTCCAGAACCCCAGTTTTCACCCCAAACTTCTGTTTATTCAATCATGGAGCCTGATTAGCCCCGCCCCCTGGCCTTATAGCCCCGCCCCAGAGACAGATTCCAGAATTGTAATTGACAGAACAGACAAAACCTCTCCTTTCCATAGCCCTGCACTCCCAATCCCCCCTCTTCACATTAATCTAAACACAGTGTGTCCAAGACGTCTAATGGAACATACAGAGCTCTTGATTTAATATGTGCCGCCCCCTAGGTCACAGCTTACTTTCTACCTCCTTGACTCCGAGCCGCTTGCCACATATCATTACTGGCTCTGATACATTCTCAGATTCTGGATTCCAAGCAGCTGAACTGTACCTTCCAGCTCCAAAACCTCTCCATTTCATTTTAACCACTAATTCATTTTTTAACAGCCCGGTAGATGTTCTTGATCTGATGTTCTTCTGTGTCCACTAAACCTTATATGTCTTATATGTATTACACACTTTGAGCTCTTTTTTCCATACGGAAAAGAACACGTGACATGAATTTTAATAGACTGCAAGAAGCTCACATCTCCCCTCAGCAGGTAAAATTTTCACCAAATTCCTAATAAACAAATGCAAATGCCAGCTGAAGCTAAATGCAGTGCCAGTGTTGATGCTTGCACACGGGCACAATGAAAGAAAGACAGAAATCTTACTTTTGTGAACATGAGTGTCTGCACCAAATTCCATTCCAGTCTGAGTTTGTTTCACTTAAAAATCACAGATGTGAAGCTCACGACAAACAAAGGGATTGCCAAAGTCAGCACAGTTCATGCGGTTGAACCTGTGAACTTTGACCTTCCAGGGATAAGCCAAGACTTCTGGGGACCATAAATATATGGACACTAAATCATGGAATGGAATCCAGTAGTTGTTTGGCTTGAAACACTTAAAAACAATTAAACAGTTACTTCACCTTCACTAGGATCCCCTTTTTTTAAATGGGAAATATTCTCTCAGATGAAAGGACGAGCCCAAAAAGTGTTATTTTGAACTCGCTGGACTAAACTGTGTCTGTTCTCCCAGAAGGCTGTTGGATGGATCAGTGAGTCAGTAGGATAAATCTGGGCAGATACATTGAAAGAGCCCCAGATGCTTTAGCGGAGCCGCTCAGTGTCAAACAGATCACCCTGCAGTTATACTGAGGAACTTTCAGGTGTGAGTGTGAGAGCAAGGCATTCCTGGCAGAAGAGAGCTCTGCTGGAAATGCCTTCACCCACATGGATTTTTACATTTAAGGACTGGTTGCTTTTGCACAAGAATCTGTCAGTAAATGGAACATAGAGTGCTGTATATAGAAACGTTTAATTCTTATGTTGTGACATAATTGAAATATATAAAAACGCAAGGCTTTAAATGCTAATAGAGGCTTTTTGGGACTAAACAAATTAGTTATGCCTCTGTTCCTGAGCTCGTCTGATGCCAGTGAAACTGTTTAGTTATTTCCTCATGGTCTTGGGTCACGGGAGTACAGAATCACACCACTCAGGCCTGTTGCAGCATCTGTGCCATATCAAGTAGAGCAGGACACGTCACGTTGTTCATTTTTCCCAACCGCTGGTGTTTTAAGACACACACACACACACACACACACACACACACTGAAACAATTAGCAGTGGCCTTGTGGTTAAATAATAGACTGTAGGCATTCCTGGTAATTTCAGTGGAGGAAAAAGAGGATACTTTTATCCACTTCTTCTACAACGTCCACATGCTTCATCTTTCACAGCAGACACAGATGCCCTCCATCCACACCCACACTGTCAACAAATCTATACCACAAACATCTGAACCGACCTGGGTTGCTCTCCAGTTGTTAAATCGAGAGGAGATCAATTCCCGTTGGTTATAGTCTTCAATTACTGGATGCATCGGCTAAAAATGTATGGACGGTTTTGACAGCTGCAAGTCAGTAAATAAGCATTGAAGCTATGTCAAAGCAGTGAAGGTGTCTCATTTGATTTTTAACCTTTACGTATTAATAGTTAAATCATCACACAGCGCAAACATCGCCTCAACTACAAGCTGAAAATGCTAAAAAGTTCCTTCATTACTTGCTTACATGAAAAACAAGATAAAACATTCTCCACCAAACTCTGCAGGTAAAAAAAAGAAGCTTAGCATAGCGAAATAAAAAGGAACATGAGTAGCAAAGGATAAGGAGGCAATGATTTATGTATTATTAACTGCAATAGGAGTCAGCTGCATGTACAGAATCACACATGTATAAACAAACCTCAGACAAACAGCGAGTCAAGGTTTAAAAACTGCTGAGAGGCAGAATGGGAGGACAGAAAACTGGGAGAGGATAATTCCTGAAAGATTATTTCTTTACCAGATGACAGGCTCAGCTTTTCCATAGACACACGCATGCACACATGGACGACACTTCTCTGCTCTGCATTTCACGATACAGTAATATTTCTCCAGGGAGGGAGCATTCGTGTGTGCGCGCGTGTGTGTGTTTGTAATGGCAAAACCATCAACTGCAAAAAGAAAGGAGAGGACACAAAAGGAGAAACAAAGAGACAGACGGGCGTCTGATGTGTAGAACGGTCATGTGTCTGACTCATTTCTGCACCGTTTAATATCCTGGAAACTTCACATTTTGCACACATCCACGTCCCTCATTTGATCCGGGCTCATTTTCCTACTCTTTTTCTCTCAAAAAACAGCTTTTCTACAGTAAATAAGAAAAAAAGAAGTCTAACCAAAGTAAATCACTCCCTAAAACAATGCAAAAATATGCATTTTCCCTCTGCTGTCTTTGTTTAATACTCCCAGCAATGAAGCAGGTTCCACCTTTTTCTTTCAGAAGCTTCTTACAAAAACCTGCTGCCAAGTTTGAGTCAGTGCAGCAATGTCCCACAAATTTAGTAGACCTTGTTGAGCTGGAAAGATGCCAAGGATCACTGAGTTGAAATGTAGGAAAGCGAAGCAGGGAAGGAGCATGCTGACAAATGAGCAGTCTATCCCTGAATAAATAAAGATCTGGAAAAAAAAAAGCTTTTTTAATCCTTTTAAATCTGAAATATTCAATCCATCCAAGCGTGACACCCGCGGCTGACGCTACAACGTGAAAAGGAGATGCTTGTATATCATACATCATGAGCCGTGTGTCATTTTCAGGTGCAGACAGCTGCAGTCGGATAAAGCTACAAAACTGCCAGCGCCAAACACTAAAGGTGAAGCTGCAATGCTGTGGTATTGCCGACAGGATGAGATTGACTTATGAAGTGATTTTGGTTTGGAAAAATGTGTAAGAGTGAAGGTAGGGCGTATTTTTGTTCTATCTCTTTTCTGTGTTTCATTTTGAAGATGATCCCTAGTCCCCATCTTAGCCAGCAGCACTTTGAAACCAGTGTTACTTGCCCAGCTGAAACGTTAGTCAGGGTTCAAATCTGTTAATATTGTAGGTGCAGTATACTGTTGCCTTATGTGCACGATTTAATGCCAATTTGAGAATGAATTTGGATGCAAAAGCATTTTGAATGCTCAGTGTAGTTAAACGTGGCCTTAATACTTAAGTCAGTATGTTTTTGGATAGAGATGCATTTTTTTTGGAGTTTTGCCTCTGTACACCACCACAGGTGATTTTAAATCAAACAATATAGATGTGATTGAAGTCAGATTTTTATTTATTTAATTTTTTAAAGCTTTAATTCAAGGGGTTTAACAAATGTATTGCATTTACCGTCCCCCCATTTAAGAGGGTTGAAAAGTAATTGGGTTACCATTGAAAAATATCCCATTTCTTTTCTTTAAAAACTCTTGGGTTGCTTTGAGCCAGTATCTATTTCACCATGAAGCGCTGTCAAATCAGTTTTTGCAGCATTTGGATGAATCTGAGCAGAGTGTACAGCCTTGAACGCTTCAGTATTAATCCTGCTATTTCTACCAGGAGTCACTTCATCAAAAAAAAACCTCCACTAGTTACCTGGTTTCACTGAAAGCCATAAATTATCATATCATAACATTACCTCCTCATGCCTGACACACTGTTTCTCTCCTTCTACTAACATTTCTCTTGCCATCGTTCTGGTAGAAGCTATACTTTGTTTCATCTGTCTAATATTTTTTTTTCTGAACTGTGCAGGCTCTTTTAGAGACTTTACCTCTACCTCCCAGAG